CACACATATATATATATATATATATATATATATGTGTGTGTGTGTGTGTGTGTGTGTGTGTGTGTGTGTGTGTGTGTGTGTGTGTGTGTGTGTGTGTGTGTGTGTGTGTGTGTTTGTGCCCATGTGCTTCCCCTATCCAGGTGGATGTGCAAAAGGGCTTTGATGTTCAACACGATAAAGCTCAGCCGGGTCTGTTTCCTTCCGTAGATAGTCGCGTCACTATAAATGCCAGCGGTAACGACGCCAGCCGCTAAACGTCACAGAGCAAATCCTTCATATGTTAAGCGTTATCGTCTAGAATGAGGAAAGGCGGAGAAAGGATAGGAAATATCTCCACACAAGCAAGCGTCGTTCGGCCGAGTGTCTGGAGGTAGAGAAAGGCTATTGGCCAAGAGACAGCTAATCTATAAGATATGCAGATGTGATATGACGAAAGTGGAAAGTATTTTAACGATGGCAGACACTACATGAAACACAAAGACGGACGATGACAAAGGAGTCACGGGAACCAACATTTATCTTGACCAGACGGCGAGAGAGGGGGAGGGGGGAAGGGGGTAGGGAGAGGGAGAAGGGAGAGAGGGGGGAGGGTGAAGGGAGAGCGAGAGAGGGGGAGGGAGAAGGGAGTGGGAGAGAGGGGGGAGGGAGATGGGAGAGGGAGAGAAGGGGGAGGGAGAGAGGGGTATGGGAAAGGAGATGGGAGAGAGATAGCAAGGGAGATCAGAGTGAGTGAGAGAGAGAGAGAGAGAGATGAGCAAAAGAAAAATGAAATGAAAAAGATAATAATAATCTAGTTTCCACTGGGGTCCATATATACCTAAAAAGACCTTGGGTTACGCAGCATCGGCCATCCTCGTGTGAATTTACGGGGCCAGAGCCTGGAGCATCTGCTGCCATCGCCGGGGAGGGACGCCCTTCCGCGCCTCGGAAGAGCTTTAGGCTCACTGATCAAGACTTCTAGTTTTATATATTTAGATACCTTTATGTACATATATATATATATATATATATATATATATATATATATATATATATATATATATATATATATATATATTAGATACCTTTATATATATATATATATATATATATATATATATATATATATATATATATATATATATAGATACCTTTATATATATATATATATATATATATATATATATATATATATATATATATATATATATATATATATATATTATATATATATATATATATATATATATATATATATATATATATATATATATATATATATGTATGTGTATGTATATATATATATATATATATATATATATATATATATATATATATATATATATATATATATATATATGTATATATATATATATATATATATATATATATATATATATATATATATATATAAAGGTATCTAAATATATATATATATATATATATATATATATATATATATATATATATATATATATATATATATATATATATATATATGTATATGTATATTGGCTGTTAAAATATATATATATATATATATATATATATATATATATATATATATATATATATATATATATATATATATATATATATATATATATAAATATATATATATATATATGATGTATATATATATAAATATATATATATATATATATATATATATATATATATATATATATATATATATATATATATATATATATATATATATATATATATGATGTATATATATTATATGTAAATTTGTCCAATAGCGTGTATCGATAATGGAAAATTTTCTTCTTTTTTTCGCACAGCTGAGATTTTATATCTGGCCAAGGTGCAGGCATTTCCACACATATAGCCTTCTAAAAAATAACAGCCTTCCACAGTGATCATCGATTCACTGGCAAATTTCTTGATAAACCGAGCTGAAGGAAATTATCATCAACCAGAAAGAATAAGAAGAAAGAAACGAAGTAAAAAACAACAACAAAAAAAATCGAATCAAACTCGTCATCGTCACAGAATCCGAACCGATTCAGAATCCGAACGAACTCGAAGACGCCATCCTGCGGTCATTACACCCCCTCCCCCCCTCCCTTCCTTTGAACCCTTAATCCTTTCCACTAACCACAACTTTTGACTCACTTGCATCACAAACTCTCGGGATGTGTGTCTTTGCTGCTAATGAATACATAAATTACAGTTGCATTATCCCATGGGTAATACAAAGGAATCGTTTGAAATTTACCCTCAAATATTTGCAAGCACACCACTCGAAGCTTGTCTTGCAAGATGATGTAGGTTATTTGAGTATGCTCCAGGTTCCTTGGCATTATCGATAAGACCATCAATCCTAGGTCTAACGTAAATAACATGAGAATACAAATATACGTTCTTTGGTGTAATATATGGATGGATTAGACAATGCCGTGGGACCAGTATGTAGAGGATGTAAATTTGGTGATAACTTTGCCCAATAAGTAGATACTTTTTTCCTTGGTAAACTCAAGCGTATTCTCGAAGGCGA